TTTTTTTTTTTTTTTTTTTTTTTTTTTTTTTTTTTTTTTTTTTTTTTTTTTGGAGGTTTTTGCTCTAGGGTGTGTGCGTTCGCCAGACAGACAAAGACAGAGAGTTAGAAAGCGAGAAATCACCCCCCGGGGGGACATAGCCATTACACTAACTGCTGGTCCCAGCCTGATAGGTGCTTTCTCAGTATGAGTGTGGGCCTGGAGACTCCTCACAGCCTGGGCAGGTCCTCTCTGATCTGCTCAGTGATCCTGGGAAGTGAGGGTGGAGATGAGCTTCTCTGGGTTCCCACTTCTCTGCAGCCTGCGTTTTGCACACACCAGAGTCTCAGCACGAGTGAGCCCTCTACGGTGGGCCCTGTTTGAAGTCTCCGTGACCCCACCGCCCCCTCACTCCGTTCCCTTCCCCAGGCCTCCGGGGGGCCATCCCCTACGCCCTGAGTCTGCACCTGGACCTGGAGCCCATGGAGAAACGGCAGCTGGTCGGCACCACCACCATCATCATCGTGCTGTTCACCATCCTGCTGCTGGGCGGCAGCACCATGCCCCTCATCCGCCTCATGGACATCGAGGATGCCAAGGCGCGCCGCCGCAGCAGGAAGGACGTCAACCTCAGCAAGACGGAGAAGATGGTCAGTACGCCGAGGGGGCGGGGCGCGGCTGCCCCGGGGATGCCCGGCCTGACCCTGCTGACCTGGGGTGCCGAGACTCACTCTGAGGGTGCCCAGCCCCTCTCCTCGCCCACATGCATGCACTAGTTGCCCAACCCGAGAACTGGAATGAGGAAACGTGGCCTGTTGGAGTGGGGTGTCTGCCAACCCTGTGACTCATGGAAGGGAGGCCAGGAGCTGGCACCATCTGCTTCCCTCTGTAGCTTTGTCAGTGCCCTAGGTGCCAGGGCCCATGCCAGACTCTCCAGCAGTGCTCCTCCCCTGCTGGTGGCCGCCACTCTCCCCCTGCCTGCACCCACTCCACTGGCCCAGGCTCCCAGGAGGGGCCCAGCTGCCTGGCAGCACCAGCTTCACTGGCCTCATCGACGACCCCTTAGCAGAGCATAGGCTTGCTCCATACACATCCTGCCACCCTTGGTCCTCCCCGCCAAGGGTGGGATGTTCTGGGCCCTGGCAAGGTGGATCTGCAGTGAACCTGAGCCACCTGTCCTCCTCCAGCCTGCCCTCTGCACAGGAAGTCCTTTTCTGCACTCCCTCCACCTCCTCCTGCAAGTTGCTTATTTACCCTCTCATGCACTGACTCGGTTTCAGAGCCTGCCCTCAGCGGAGCCATAGCTAGAGGGGCAGATGGACAGGAGCCTCCCCAGCTCAACCTGTGGGTAATAGACTTTCCAGAACTCAGCCCCCGGGCCTGGCTGCACGTTAGAATCACCTGAAGGCACGGAAACCAAGCCCATGCCCCACCTGGCACTTCTGACTCAGCTGAGCCAGGTGGGCCCCACATCCGCTGTCATCTCAGGGAGCTGTTTGCTGTCCAGGGCCACCCTGCCCCATTGTGGAGGGCAGTGAGGCAGGGGGCACTGGTGGCCAGGGTCTGAGGGCCAGTAGGGAGGCGTAGGTGATGAGGGTCATCCAGGAAGATGCCAGCCTGGCGGCACTAGCTGACGGCCATCGGCTGCCTCCCTCCTTGCCCAGGGTAACACCATTGAGTCGGAGCACCTGTCGGAGCTCACCGAAGAGGAGTACGAGGCCCACTACATCCGGCGGCAGGACCTCAAGGGCTTCATGTGGCTGGATGCCAAGTACCTGAACCCCTTCTTCACACGGAGGCTGACGCGGGAGGTAGGACACAGCCAGCTTCCCTCCTTCCCTCCCTCCCTCTAGACCTGCAGAGGCCAGGGTGGGTGAGGAAGGATGGGGAGGCAGGGAGGAGCACGTGGGCCGCCGGGCTGTGCCTCCCGCCCGCAGGGCTGGATCTGCACGTGGAACTTGCATCTGCTGTTTCTCCTTGGTTGCCCATGTAGTGCTGGTTAATAATAGACCTGTTCGTAGTTCAGTGTTCCTGGCGATAGACTCAGGCAGTGACCCTGGCTCGGGCTCTTGTCTCTTGTTCTGTCCCTCCAGGCACTTTGAGCTCAGCAGAGATGCAGGCTTGGGAGGGGATGGGGCTCTCCCTGGCTCTGCCCTCCCAGGCAGTGACGACAGCTGTCAGCCTCCGAGCTCTTACTGGAAGTGCACGCCATGATTGCCTCATTCACTCCCAGCAGCCCCTGCAGTAGATGCAGCTGGTGCCCACCTCCCTTAGCTGGGAAGACTGAGGTCCAGGGAGCTAACTCCCTCACCACCACTGAGCCTCGCAGCTGGTAGCAGCAAGCTGCAAACAGCCCAAGTGGGTCTAATGCCAGGGCCACTCCATCTTCTTCCTACTCCTTCCAGTTTTGAATGAGGCCTCCTGCTATGTCCACCCTATGCCAGTTCAAGTTAGGGGGTTAACCCTTCAGAATTACCTGTGGCCCTTCTCCCTGCCTGCAGCCCCCCTACACCCCACACTGCACACCAGGTAGCAAGCAGCTTCTCCCCCTCAGCCCTGCCCCTGCCCTGCTGACGAGGTGTACTGTATCTGCCCAGGACCTCCACCACGGGCGCATCCAGATGAAAACGCTCACCAACAAGTGGTACGAAGAGGTGCGCCAGGGCCCCTCCGGCTCCGAGGACGACGAGCAGGAGCTGCTCTGACTGAGCCAGCACTGCCCAGGGACACCCAGCAAAGGGCCCGGACACATGAGCAGTTGGCCGCCTCTGCAGAGTAGACGAGCGGGGTGAAGTCAAGGTGGCGAGGCCGTCCTAGCCCGGAACTTGCCAGGTCTCTAGCCAGTTGGCTCTGTGATCACCGCCTCACTCTTCACTGCTCGGTGTTGCTTCTCGGCCCTGACTAGAGGGCCCCTGGCCCAGGTGGACATGTCCTCTGTCTGCAGCCAGGCCGGCAGCCGCTGTCAGTGGTGTTTGCCTGTGCAGAGGACTCAGCTGTTCTGCTGTGGGTGCATTCCCAAGCCACATCCTGCTGGGATGGCCGTGTGTGCCAGTGGGCCAGGTGCCTGTGCCATTAGCACGTGCGGTTTCAAGGGGCCTCGGAGCAGCCACCTGACGAGGGTGGCTGCCCCAGAAATCTTGAAAACCTCACACTCCCTTCTGTGATGCTTCCTGCCCTGAGAGAGAAAAACGGAGTGACCTTTTTTCCTTTACCTCTTATTGGCACCTCGGAGCCTGTCCCCGTGGCAGGCAGCTGCTCCCCTTCTCAGACGTGTTATGAGTGTTTACATTGGTCCCCATGTTGGGGCCCACTGGCAGCTGCAGCCTGGGTTTGTTGGGAGTGAACCTATTCTGTGGGGCTCGAACGCCCTCTAGAGGAGAAAGCGAGAGGCACAGGGTTTATGCGGGCCAACAGTGCTGTTTCCATTTGGTCTAAATTCATGAACAGCGCCTGGCCATGCCTCTGCCATCTGTTCTCCCCCACTGCAGACCCCTACTCAGTTCCACTTGTCCAGAGACCCCCGTCCTAGGCTCATGGTGTTGGCCACCACTTACCTGCTGCCACATTCGCTGCTAATCAGGGTTTCATCCTCTTCCCCCTCTCCCACATCCCTACCATCTTGGGACGCATTCGTCACCCGCACCAAGGTCCCAGCCCTGCAGACCACTGGGGCACGGACCAGAGCACCTGCGCCCAGATTCCTTGCTTCCACCCTCGCCTGGGACTCCAGTGACCTGAAAGTAGATGTTTGTATTCTCTCTCTCTCACACATGTCCCTCCCCTCCTCCCCACCCTCCCTTCTTCCTACCCTGCTAAGGTTCTGCCCCCATTCCAGGTGAGGAGCTGCCAATCATGTCCAGATGAAGTGGAGATTCTGACTCTCCCCCTCTCACCTGCCCCTGACTAGCCTCATCGCTGCTTGTCATGGCTGTTGGCCACTGATGGCTTCCACATGGAGCTCTGCTCCAAGTTGGAGCTTAGCTCTGTGGGCCGCATAGACCCTGGGCTGGTAGCAAGTGCGTTTCCATCCCACCTGTGTTGGGCCGGGATGTCGAGAAGGACTGGCCTCAGGACTCTGCCAGGCACAAGAGGCCAAGTCCCAGCTCAGAGCCCTTCTCTTGCCCCTGAAGTCAGGCCAGTCGGACAGGAGGCCTGTGGTTTGCTCTTGTGCGTGAAAGTAAATCTGTACTACAGTGCAGTCTTCTTGTAGTCTCACCGTGGGCCAAAAGTGAGCCGTTGCCTTGCATAATTTTGGTTTCCATTTCTATTTAATGGAAAAGCAGAGGTGATCAAAGAAAGTAGGGTAGGGCCCTAAAACCAGAATGTTCTCACACCCCAGCTTAGAACTAATTTACATGTTTTAAAAGAATATTTTTAGGTTTTTGTCATAGGGTATGTGCACTTGCCAGAGAGACAGAGAGAGACAGCGAGACGGAAAGTTAGAAATCACCCCCCAGAGGGAATAGCCACACCACAGTCCCTTCTCCACTCTCCTCGTGGGATTTTGGACACACACACACACACACGCACCCAGCCTGAGTTTCAAGCTGCCCTATCCAGGGCTTGAACCACTGTCAGCCATGTGGGAGTCCAGCGCCTTAACCACAATGCCACTTGCTGGCCCAGAACTAATTTACTTTCTCTGAAATTCAGGATCTGATCTCAGAGGTTTGCGTTGCTTTGTAAACTCAGGCTTGCCAGAATTTTTCTTTCTTAAATTCACAGCTTAAGCAGTGGAAGAGTTAGGGACTTCTTAGTGCAGACTGCCCCGTCACCAGGTCTGATGCCCAGCCACAACACTCCAGCCCCTCGCTTAGCTCAGACACTAATGGAAGGACAGGTGGGGTGGGTGGGGCAGGGGTGTGGACCTTTCCTGGTAGGTACTGGCGTCAGCGTGAGTCTCCCGTGTGCCTCCTCTGCCCCCTGCTTTGGACACACACCCACACACACGCCCCCAGCCTGAGTTTCAAGCTGCCCTATCCAGGGCTTGAACCACTGTCAGCCATGTGGGAGTCCAGCGCCTTAACCACAATGCCACTTGCTGGCCCAGAACTAATTTACTTTCTCTGAAATTCAGGATCTGATCTCAGAGGTTTGCGTTGCTTTGTAAACTCAGGCTTGCCAGAATTTTTCTTTCTTAAATTCACAGCTTAAGCAGTGGAAGAGTTAGGGACTTCTTAGTGCAGACTGCCCCGTCACCAGGTCTGATGCCCAGCCACAACACTCCAGCCCCTCGCTTAGCTCAGACACTAATGGAAGGACAGGTGGGGTGGGTGGGGCAGGGGTGTGGACCTTTCCTGGTAGGTACTGGCGTCAGCGTGAGTCTCCCGTGTGCCTCCTCTGCCCCCTGCTGGTCTAGTGAAGGCTTAGCACTCTGGAAGAGTGCTCCAGGGGATGAGGGTCCCCCGTGTTCCTTGGCAGTCTCTGGGTTTACAAAAGGCAAACAAGCAGAAAACCATGGGAGGTATATTTTTCAGGTGAATTTTTCTGAATGTCTTCACCTGAGAACTACACGGGGCAGTAAATGCATGGAAGATCCAAAAATGCGTTTCGCTGTACTTATTTTCTCTTGGGTCAAGACTGAGGGGCCAGAGAACACAGCCCCTGGAAGACCGTGTTAGGGTGATGAGGAAGCTAGGAAGGTATGGGAGCCCCTGGGGTGACTGTTACCCAGTAGCCACTGAGTCAAAAGGATAGTGGCACAGGCCCCCCCACCAGAGACCCTGGTGGCCCTCCACATAGGCTTTTTTTTATTTTTTATTTTTTTGAGAGATTTTTGCTATAGAGCATGTGTGCTCACCAGAGAGACAGCCAGAAATCACCCCCAGGGGGGATGGCCACGCCATAATCCCTTCTCCATTCTCCTCTCAGGATCTCGGGCATGCACGCACACGTGTCTGGCCTGAGTTTAAGCCAACAGGACTGGGACTCAAACCATGATCGACTACATGGGTGTCCAGTGACAGCCATTATGCCAACTGCTGGTCCCCCACATAGGCTCTGGATTTTGAAACACTTCTTGAAATAACGCGTATGCTTTCTGCAACCCTGTGGTTGCAGGGCCCTTAGGACAGTCCACTCTGCAATTGAGGTGGTCTTCTGGTGGAGGAGCTGGTTGTTCTTAGGTCCTCGGAGATTGAATTTGGGGTTTGATCTCAGCTCAGGGTAGCCCAGGTCCATCCTCTGGTGTCAACACAGCGCAGGGCAAGGCCAAAAGCATGCCTGCCCCCACCCAGGGCAGACACCTCTCTGCACAATGGGGACGCTGACTGGGCCCCGATGGCTGGCTGGCCAAGGTTGACAGGCAGGCCTGGCCAGGAGACCCTGGTTCCTTTGTGTGCAGTGGAATGCTGGGCGGTTGGAGAACCCAGTCTTCTTAATACCCTGTTAGTGCCATGAGCGAGATTGGGCCAGTGAGGTCTTGGGCCTGGTCCCACAGCCCCCCCACTGGGCAGAGTTAGCAGCAGGGTGTCTGCAGCCAGATCTCACTTGTTTTGGGGCCAAGTAGGCTGCAAAGTTGCAGGCATGCCTGGGCTTCTGGATCCAGTGAGGGGAAAGCACCTACAGCTGATTGGGATTTGCAAATGCAGAGTGAGAAAGGGGCCCCTTGACTCTCCCTGTTCCCTTTGGGAAGCCACCTATGTCCCCTGCTGGTCAGGGCATAGGAGACCAAATATGACCGCCCCTGAGGCAGCAGCCAATACCAGGAAGTTACTCTAGCAGAAACTGGCCTCCAGAGCCTGTGCAGTGTCTGCAAAGGGACAGCCAGAGTCCCTGTCCTTCCTCTAATGCAGTTGGACACTCGGGCTCCCCCATCGCAGTGTAAGCAATGGGAAGGCGCATATCCCTGCGCACCCCTGACCCCCTGCAACAGTCTGCAGAGGAGAGATGGCCTCCACCTTCCTGACTATGAGTAGGACTTCTCCCTGGGGCTCTGCAGGAGCCTGACAGTTGAGGACTGAGTATGGACCTGGGGCTAGTTGGGGGCGGGGGTGGCGGGGTGCGTATGGTGGGCAGAGGAAGGTCACATGTGGCCCTGTGCAAGCAGCCAGGCTCGCCTCCCTTGAGCAGTTGGCATGGCCTGGCTTCATCCAGCATACTACAGGCTTCATCCAGCATTTTCTTCGAGTTTGGCTCCCGCAGAGCCTGGGTTGGTCTCAGAGTTGCTCAGTCAGGTTCTGGTATTCTTTTTTGTCATTTTCTTTGTAAAAATGAAGGCTTTTAATGTGCTGGGTTTTGTTTTAAGGGGCCTCTAGGGAGGTCAGGCTTGTTCTTTGGTCTCCCCAGGTGAGCCCAGTGGGTTGGTCCCTGGCTCCTGAGAAGTGAAGTACTGTGCTCCCTGCTGGGCTCGGGATGGGAGGCAAGAGGGCAGGGACACCAGCTTCATCTCGCTGGGATCGGGACTCCCTAAGGAACTAGAGACCCATGGAAGCAGCCCCATCACAGGAGACTGACTGAGGAATGAAAACGAATGACAAGTCGGAGCCGGTTTGCATGTTTGCACCTGTCCTGGCGGCTTTGCAAGGCCTGGAGCTGGTCCTGGCCCAGCCCGGCAGGAGGCCTGAACTGCTCCTCTGCCTCACCCCACCCTCCACAACTGCCCTTTGCCCACTTCTGATGGAGACCTGGGTTCAGAGAAGCATTTTTCTACCACAGTAGAAGCTGCCAGCATGACAACGCGTGGTAGCTGTCACTTGGCCTCGGAGTCAGGGAAACACCCAGGAGGGGTGGGGACTCTGGCAGGTAGGCTCCCCCTGGCTGCCAGGGAGGCTGGGGTGCAGTTTTGCTGAGCAGATTGTCAGCTGGACCAGTCGGAGTCCTGGTACTGTGTGTGGGAGGGGCCGAGCAGGTACTTGGTTCCCACTAAGGAAGCTGGTGGTTTTTTGTTTTGTTTTAACACAGCCACAGGGCCTGCGCATATGCCCTGCATGTTGCGGCCGTGGTAGGGGTTCGAACCCCAGTCACCCCTGTGGGCCTTAGTTGCCATCTGCACAGCTCTTTAACCATCGCGCTACAGAAATCAGGTATTTTGCACATTTCAACTCCTAGAAAAAGTTCTCAGGGCAGAGGGGAACAATCGAAAAGAGACTATTTCCTCAGAAGCCAGAAAGCTGGGGGGAGAGGGCAGGTCACGCACAGAGTGGAGGTCCTGTAACCCCACTCATTCCACAGCAGGACTGACAGATGGAGCTGGCCTGGAGCGTGGGCCCCATCGCCCCTGGGAGGCACCCCTGGCTCCCAGGAGATGACGTGGCTCTCTGATTCTGGCCTTGACAGATCAGGAGACAAGGACAGTCGGGGGGGCAGGGAGCCAGTGCGGTCACCTTGGGGTGCAGCCACAGGAAGTGCTGTGAGTGAGGGTACATATGGGCCTGCAGGAGAGCAGGCAGGCACCAGCCACTCACACCCTGGCCACACCTGGGTGGAAGTCTTAGCATCAGCTGGGGCCAGGCTGTTCCTGGGACAGAAGGGACCAGGAACCCACTGTGCACAAGGGCAGCGGTTGGGTGGTATCCTGAGGCAGTGGGGAAGAAACCAGGTCTTTGCTTACTAAAAAGTGTAAAAGGTCCCAAAAACATGGTTTATTTTGTGGCAAAGATGAGCTGTTGACTACTATATGCTGCTGGGAGGGCCTGCTTGTTCCAACTTTGAAGGCCAGTGTGGTGACACTTAACGAAAGCCTGCAACTGTCCCAGCGGTTCCACTCAGGACCAAATGGATGTGCACAAAAATTCGGCTTCAAAGAATGGTCATCCTGGCAATATCTGTAAGGAGAAAAAATTGGAAACAGCCTCACTGTCCAGTGGTAGGTTATGAGATAAATGAACAGGATATTGGCCAACAATGAAAGATTTAAGGATGGGGCCAGCAGGTGGCGCAGTGGTTAAGGTGCTAGACTCCCACATGGCTGGCCACGGTGGTTTGAAACTCATACCGGGCCAATGTGCATGAGTGCCCAAAATCCCAAGAGGAGAATGGAGGAGATAAGATTGTAAAGTGGCCATCCCCCGGGGGGTGTTTTTTTACTTTCCCTCTCTCTATCTCCAACGAGCACACATGCCCTATTGCAAAAACAACCAAAAAAGATTTAAGGACGTGGAAAGATGTCTACTATGTATTAGGCTAGCGTCTACTCACCTTTAGACATAAAAATTTCACCCTCTCCTTAAATATTTGAGATTTCATAATGACTAAAAATGAGTCAAAGGAATGGAACTTTCAGTACATGCTTTCAAACATGTACATACTGGGCAGGCCCGATGGCCTAGTGGTTAAGGGAGCCAGATTTCCACATGGCCACCTGTGGTTCGAGTCCTGACCCCAGTGGCTTGAGAAGCATGTGTGGTGCCAGAGTGCATGCCCAAGGTCCTGACAGGATGGAGAACTGGCGGGGAGACTGCAGCATAACCACACCCCGCTGGGGGTCGGAGGTGATTCACCCCTC